AAACAAACAAACAAAAACCCTGGGTTAAATCCCTAGTACCAAACAATAAAAGAATATATATATATCTATGAAGATAAGAAACAAATTAAGCATGTAAACTAATGCTCTCTTAGTGTGGGCATGGCTAAGAAAAATGTTCAGTACACAATAATTTATCGCCACTGCTATTATTACTAATGAGAAGTCATCATGGGTAACTACAATTTTTAGTTAAATTGGGTCGCAACATAGATGGTGGAGATAAAGAATGCAGATGGGAAGGGCAGACTGGCAGGGGAGAAAGTGATGATTTGAATTGAGGTGGATGGTGGTGGGGTAGGGGGGCCCTCTGCTTGTTCCCCTCACACAGTACTGGGGATTGAACTCAGGAGTGCTTTACCACTGAGGTACACCCCCTTCCTTTTTTTTTTTTTTTTTCAGTTTGAGACAGGATCTCATTAAGTTATCAAAGTTGGCCTCTAAGTTGCAATCATTCTGCTTGAGCCTCCCAGGTCTCTGGATTAAAAGTACGTGCCACTTTTTCTGTCTGGCTCTTCTTGTCCCCTATTCTTCCACTAAAGGCCATCAAATCCTGAGATCTTCTAATCCCTATTTTTTTTTTTTGAGAGAGAGAGAGAGAGAAAGAGAATTTTTTTTAATATTTATTTTTTAGTTTTCGGCGGACACAACATCTTTATTTGTATGTGGTGCTGAGGATCGAACCCAGGCCACACGCATGCCAGGCAAGTGCGCTACCGCTTGAACCACATCTCCAGCCCCCCTAAATTTTTAACTAGGGGTTTATAGATGAGATTTAAGGAGTGCCAAACACTTGAAATTACATGTAAAATGCTGTAGTGATCTTAATTTTTTTCCCTAGAAGGGCCAAAGCTTTCAGTTTCTCATGAAGATTTGTGACCCAAAAAGATGAAAACCACAGATCCAAACTATCTCTCCAGTATTAAACATGGCTGCCAAAACCCCTGGTCCCCCACTATAGTTGAGCTGTTGTATGTCACAGGGAAAGAAACTCATGAACAAGACTGTAGCAACATTGCCCAGGTTCTTGATATGGCTGGTCCCACAGTCCACATTAAGCCATATTTGAAATATCATACACTGCGGCCTTGGTTTTCAACCCACTTCTTTCTTTTTGGAGGGACTCAGGTATACAATGTTGGACAAATAATAATCCTCACAATGTGTTTTTACCACTTTTATCACACAAAACTTACTTTTATGTATAGCGTTTTTAATAATGTAATAAGCACCACACATGAAAACTAGAACCTTGAAAGTGACCTCATTTTATGTTCCCTCCAGCCTCATCCTATCACCCTACCCATAGGAACCATTATCCTCAATCCTAGTGATAATTATTCTTTCCTTTTCACCATAATATATATACTCAAAACTTCATGGATAGAAAAACCATTGATAGATTCATAGCTGAAAAGGACCGCTGGGAGATGGCAGAAACTGTAGGAAGTAGACCTAGTTGAAAGGAGTAGGTCCTTAAGGGTGTGACATTGGGGAACTGTATTTTGTCCTCAGTCCCTTCCCCTCTATCTGTCCCTGCTTCCCAGCTGCCATGAGGTAGCAGCTTTACTCCACCATATTCTTCCCACTATGATTCTCTGCTTTACTTTAGGCCGAAAGCAATGAAGCCAGCTGACCTTGTACTGAAGATGAAGATTTTACAGTCTAATATAAATCAACTCTGTCTTCTACAACATGAAATTTTGGAAGAGACAAAACTATAGTGAAAGAAAGCAGATCAAGGGTTATCTGGGAACAGGAATAGGGAATGGGGATTGAGTACAAAGGAGCACAAGGAATCTTTTTAGCAGATGAAATTACTGTCTACATCTTGTTGGTGATCATGGCTAAACTATTATATACAATTATCAAAATTCACTAAACAGCACATTTTAAACTAATGGATTACACAGTATATAAATAATAACAAAAAGAAAAAAACTTTTCTTTCAAAAAAGGCATCATACTATACTTACTCTTTTGGGATTAAATTTTTTTGCTTCATGTTTTATTGCTAAAATTCATCCATATTATTATATTTCTGTATTAGTCAACTCTTTGTTGCTGTGACCAAAATGCATGAAAAGAACAACTTAGGGGGCTGGGGATGTGGTTCAAGCGGTAGCGCGCTCGCCTGGCATGCGCGGGGCGCTGGGTTCGATCCTCAGTACCACATAAAAAAAAAATAAAGATATTGTGTCCACCGAAAACTAAAAAATAAATATTAAAAAATGATCTCTCTCTAAAAAAAAAAAAAAAAAGAACAACTTAGGGGCTGGAGCTGTGGCCCAGTGGTAGACTACTTGCCTAGCATGTATGAGGCACTGGATTCAATTCTCAGCACTGCATATAAATAAACAAAGTACATTGACAATTAAGAAAATATTAAAAAAAAAATAACAACTTAGAGGAGGCAAAGTTAATTTGGCTCATGGATTCAGAAGTTCAGTTCATGACCAGCCATGAACTCCATCAATCTGGGCCTAAGGTGAGGTGAAGAATCATGGCAGAGGGGTGTCGTAGAGGATCTCAGGACAGTTGGAGAACAGAAAAGAGGAGGAGCAAGGGGGATAAAATACAATCCCAAGGGCACACCCCCAGGACCCACCTCCTCCAGTCATGCTCCATTTGCCACCAGTAGTTCTTTCAAGTATTCATCTATTAAATGAATTAATCCACTAATTAATTAATTAATCCACTCTGACAATCTAACCATTTCACCTCTGAATATTCTTGCATTGTCTATCACATGTGCTTATGGGGGAACACCTCATATCCAAACCATAATAGTACTGCTATAGTTCATTTGTTTTTATTTTGACAACTATATTTTTCTTTTCTTTGTTTGGCACTAGGGATTGAAACCAGGGGCGCTTAAGAACTGAGCCATATCCCTGGCCCTTTTTTTAAATTTGATTTTGAGACAGGGTCTCACTAAGTTGCTGAGGCTGGCTTTGAATTCATGATCCCCCTGCCTCAGCCTCCCAAGCCACTGGGATTACAGGCATGCGCCGCTGTGCCCGGCTACAACTACATAATATTTCATTGTGTGGCTATTTCAGTTAATTCACCCACTCTTTTATTTCATGGACATTTGGATTATTTCCTGGCTTTTGCTTTTGTGAACAGGCTGCTTTGAACATCCTTCACATGTGCCCTGGTATACCCGTATGAGTTTCTCTGGGATTTATCCTTAGTATGGAATAACTGGATACAGGGTAAGTGAATATTCAATTACAGAAGATAGTAGCTTTGTGGCACTCATTGTAATCCCAGCAATTTAGAAGGCTGAGGTGAGAGGGTCACAAGTTCATGGCCAGCCTGCACAATTTAGGGAGAACCTGTTCCAAAAATAAAAAAGTGCTGGGCCGGGCATGGTGGTGCTCTCCTGTAATCCCAGGGGCTTGGGAGGCTGAGGCAGGAGGATTGTGAGTTCAAAGCCAGCCTTAGCAAAAGTGAGGTGCTAAGCAACTCAGTGAGACCCTGTCTCTAAATAAAATACAAAATTGGGCTGGGGATGTGGGTCAATGGTCAAGTGCCCCTGAGTTCAAACCCTAGTACCTCTCCCTTAAAAAAAAGTGCTGGGGATGTTGCTCAGTAGTAAAGTGCCCTCAATACCACAAATCAATTATAAGAGAGAATCAAACTGTTTTCCAAAGTAGTTCTCTACTTTTCTTACCTGAGGTGGTGCCCCCAATTAGAATGAGATTACAGGGACAGGAAAGCCTCTCCTTTTGAACTATTATTACTTAATATTCACATAGCACCAGAGTGGTCCAAGAGGCCAAGGACCAAAACAGCAAGTAGGAACCATATGCATAAAAGCTGGTTGAGGTCCTACTCAGAGTACCAGCCAAGCTCCTGGAGCTCTACCTTCTTAGCTTCACTTCATTTGGAGTCTAAAAGATCTTTCAGAGCCTAGTGACAATACAAATCCTAAGAATGAAAAAGGCTTAAGCTCACTAAAGTCTTTCTCATCTGACATCTTTAACAGTCAAATAAGGATTAACAAGAAAAGAATAAAGGGCAAAAGGAATGACAGCAAGAGGTAGAAGAGGAATAGGGACAACAGGAAGAGTCAAGAAACCTTCAGGTATTCTAAAGTCATGCACCCTTTCTTGCACAAGGGTCAGTTTTTCAGAAAAACAATGACAACAAAATTTAATGAAAAAAATTTTCAGGTAACCACAAGCAATTTTTAATCTCCCTGCCACTAAAGGTTACCATTTTTTGGCTAATAWTACAAAGATGTAAATAGCATGCAGTCAGTAAATTATATAGTGTTGCCCCCAAATACACATTATATGAGTTGAAAACCTATGATGCTAGGGGAAGAGTTCAGAGGGATTTTGAAATAGGCCAAAGAGCAGGTACTAGAATTTGGTTACAGACAAGAAACAAGAACAAAAAAAAATCTGGTACAAAAGAAAACAAAACATTAGGATATTCCTAGGCACTCAGAAAGCAAAAGGAGGTGAGTTGTCATTCTGAAGGCTGTAGAGGTCTGATTATCCCCCAGTTCTATATATCTCCCAGTTATATAGTTCTCAGAGCTCCCTAGCTTCCTGACATACAGAAGTCCACAGAATACTTACTATTAAGAAACACACAAAAGTATGATATCCCTATGGCAGAAGCAGCTTCTATATCTACATTTGACAGCAGAAGGAATGGTCAGAATTACTCAGCTAAGGAGAGCTTTCTCAATGAGTAAGTAAGCAGATTATTGTGCACTGGCTTAACGTTTTTAGTTACTTATTCCTTAAATTAGATCATAGGCCATATGGAGAAACTAGGGGGGCTTGCTGAACTCACCTCAAGTGTGAGAGGAACTCTATAATCAGAGGCCAGTCTCAAACACCAGTCTGAGATCCTGAGCTTGGCCACCAAGGAGTTAGTGTTCAGCAGCTGCAGTTGGTACAAATGCAACTATAACAGTACTTGCACTGACATAAAGCCCCTGACATATCCCCAGCTCTATGGAACTTCAACAATTTTATTTGCTAAATGCTTCTTCACAAGTATACAGCTTACAGTGTAGGTTTCTCATTGATTTTTTTCCTTCTAACCTCCAAATGGGATAGGCACCATTAGCATAAGCTTGGCAATAGGGGAAGAGTAATAAGTGAGTTAGAAATAAGTGTGTTGATACTTCACAATTGAGCGGTAGGACAAACTCCTACTTCCTACTGCTTAAAACTGCAGAAAAAACTCAGGATGGAGACGGGATCTAGAGTACATCTCTGTCACTGGTCTCAGTTTCCAGTTCCTCCAATAGAGTACATCCTTTGTCTTCCTACTGCAGGGACAAGTGATGCTAGGTTAGCCTACGCATTTTGCAGAAGTACATAGGCCCAAAATTGGCCATGAGGTTTGGTATTACCAGCTCCCCAACCTGGCAGGATGGGAAGAAACAGAATGTGTCCATGAAAAGTTTTCGGAAGTGAGACAGGTCTTCCACCTGAACTTTGATGCTATATTGATTGGCCAGAAGTTCGATGGTACCTTGAACCACATACTCATTCTGTAAGTGTGAGAGGGAGCAGGTAGAATAGACAACATGGCCTCCTGGTTTGGTGGCAAGGAGTCCAGCCCTGAAACCAGAAAGAGAAAGAAGCAATTTCTATTGAGCTTCCCAGCAATGGAATAGCAACATAAACAGCTGGAAACACATGTAGGGGAGTTCTAATAAGTGACAGATAGCTGGATTGGAGGGACTCTGAAGTCCCTTTCATGATGACTCTTTCTGAAAAATCATCCTTTTATTTATTTATTTATTTTGGTGGGGGGAGGTTAAGGAGTAGGATTTATTCAAATGAGAAGAAAAGAAACCAAGCTTCCACAGGGTAAAAAGGGACCAGAAAGTGTTTGCCAGCAAAGTTTTTTTTTTTTTTTTTTTTTTTTTTTGTACCAGGGATTTAACCCAGGGGTATTGAGTCACATCCTCAGCCCTTTTTATTTTGAGACAGGGTCTTACTAAATTGCTATGGCCCTGCTTAGTTGTTGAGGTTGGCCTCAAACTTGCAATCCTCCTGCTTCAGCCTCTTGAGTTGCTGGGATTATAGATGTGCACCACCACACCTGGCCTGAAAACTCATTTTTTAAAAAACATTTTTTTAGTTATAGATGAACACAATATATTTCTTTTTTTTTTTTTTTAATATGTGGTGCTGAGGATTGAACCCAGGGCCTCACATGTCTGAGGCAAATGCTCTACCACTGACCTATGACCCCAGCTGAAAAGTCATTCTTAAGGCATAGAGCAATACAGCCTTACTCCATAGGATCTCTTCTAAGAAGGCTCTTTAAATGATCCCTTGAATCCTGACTCTGGTTGTGGACTAAATCCTGATATTGGCTATAGATTGAGTCAACCCTATAGAGCACTGACCTTAATAGCTATTTTTCTTTATCTTAAAGAGACATGGGCTCAGCTGGGAGTAGTGGCACATGCCTATAGTTCCAGCTACTCAGAGGCTGAGGCAGGAGGATCACAAGTCTGAGCCCAGTCTCAGCAACTCAGTGAGACCCTGTCTCAAAATTTTAAAAAAAGATTTATCTTTTTAAAGGGCTGGTGATTTATCTCAGTGGTAGATCACCACCAGTTTCAATCTTCAGTGCCACCAAATAAAGAAACAAATAAAAATAAAGAGATGGAGTCTCACAGTGCTGCCCAGGCTAGAGGCCAGGCTGGCCTCAAATTCCTAATGATTCTCCTGTATCACTCTACTTTATTCCCAAGTAGATAGGTCTACAGAAGTGATCCATCATGCCCTGCAGTAACTATTTTTCAAACATATGCAAGTCACTGATACTGAGGGTAAAACAACATGAATAAATCTGCAACCCACCCTGGCATGTATGTCCTTACCAGATAAGAGGGTTTTAATGTTCCAGAAAAGGACCATCGCATGATGTCTGACTCCTCCCAGCAGATCTCCAGACATAAGACCTTTCTATGGGTGATAATCTTGGAAACAGCTTCCAGAAGTGAGCAGACTCCTCTGAGTTTTTTTTTTTATTTATTTTTTAGTTATAGGTGGATACAATATCTTTATTTTATTTTTATGTGGTGCTGAAGATCGAACCCAGTTCCTCAAGCATGGTAGGTGAGCACTCTACCTCTGAGCCACAACCCAGCCCTCCTCTGAGTTTTTATAAATTTATCACTCACGCAAGAAGCTGCACCTGCAGCATAGGCAACATCTGTCGCTCCTTCTTCCTTGACCGTTGAAAAATGTTGTTCTCTTCTTCATGAAGGGAGTGGCGGTCTGTGGTACAGGGTACATCCACCAGCACCTGCCAAACATGTTAAAGGTGAAGTATAGAATCTACTTACAGGGTGTTTGTTCCTACTTGGGACCAGAGTTGTTTTAGGCTCCTGGCCTAAAAGGTTTCATGGAATGTTCCCTCTGCTCATCCATCCATCCGAGTACCTAACCAATACTTCTCATTTTAACCTGGTAGACATTTGTGTAATAATAATTGGGATGCCAAATATGTAGTGCACAATTGTAATCCCAGTGACTAAGGAGGCTGAGGCAGGAGGATCAACAAGTTCAAGGCCAGCTTCAGCAACATAGCAAGGCCCTAAGCAATTTATCAAGAACCTGCCTCAAGGGCTGGGGATGTGGCTCAAGCGGTATCGTGCTCGCCTGGCATGCGTGTGGCCCGGGTTCGATCCTCAGCACCACATACAAACAAAGATGCTGTGTTCCCCAAAAACTAAAAAATAAATATTAAAAAATTCTCTCTCTCTCTCTCAAAAAAAAAAAAAAAAAAAACCTACCTCAAAATAAAAAGGGGCTGGGGATGTGGCTCAGTGGTAAAATGTCCCTGGGGTCAATCCTCCGTACCCAAAACAACAATAGCAAAGAGGCTGAGGCAGGAGTATCTTGAGTTCAAGGCCAGCTTCAGCAACTTACTGAGGCAGACCATGCCTCAAAATAAAAAATAAAAAAGGTTGCGGGGCTGGGGACATAACTCAGTTGGTACAGTGTTTGCCTTGCATGCATAAGGCCCTGGGTTCAATTTCCAGCACATAAAAAAAAATAAAGGGGTTGGGGATGTAGTTTAGGGATATAGTGCTTGCCTAGCATACCAAAGGCCCTAGGTTCAATCCCCAGTACCACAAAAAAGTTGAGCTAAATGTAGTATAGTGATAACTAGAGATTGGAAAGAAGGGCATAGTGTTGGCAAAGGATGATGGATAAAGAGAGGTTAGATTTGATCAATGCATACTGTATGCATACTGAAATAGCACACTAARTTCCATTAATCTGTGCAACTAGTATATTAGTAAAATCTTTAAAAAATCAATAAAATCTTTTCAAAACCCTATTGCCAGCCAGGCACGGTGTATACACCTGTAATCCCAGCAGCTCAGGAGGCAGGAGGATCAAAAGTTCAAATTCAGTCTCAAATCTTAGCAAGGCCCTGAGCAACTTAGCAAGACCTTGTCTCAAAATTTTAAAAAATAGAGCTGGGATTGTGGCTCAGTGGTAGAGCACTTGCCTGGCATGTGTGAGGCACTGAGTTTGATCCTCACACCACATAAAAATAAATAAATAAAGGTATTGTGTCTGCCTACAACTAAAAAATATTTTTAAAATTTTTTTGAAAAATAAAAAGGGCTGGAGATGTGACTCCTTGGTTAAGAACCCCTGGGTTCAATCCCTGGTGCCAAAATAAGAAAAAGAAAAGAAAATGGATGACATGTAACAAAAATAACCACAAAAACAAAAGGAAATAAGCCTCTTAGAGTAAGTCGGCAGAAACAAAAAAACAAGAGAATTAAACCCCAAATGCTTTTTTTAAACACTTTTTTTGGTTGTAGATGGACAGAGTACCTTTATTTTATTTATTTCTATGTGGTGCTAAGGATCAAATCTCAAATGCTTTTAATATTAGAATTATCCAATGTAAAATTAAAATATAAATCTGGGCTGGGAATGTATCTCAGTAGTAGCATACACAAGGTACCAGGACTCAATCCCTAGCACTGCTATATAAACAAAAATAAACCTTTCTAAATAAAAAAAGAAATTAAAAGAAAAAACAAAGAGCAAAGAACAGAGACAACATAGTGAAAGAAACACAGTAAATAAAATAAAGAGTAGCAGGGTGTGGTGGTGCATACCTGTAATCACAGCAGCTCTAGAGGCTAAGGCAGGAGGGTTGTGAGTTCAAAGCCAGCCTCAGCAACTTATAAGGACCTAAGCAACTTAGCGAGACCCTGTCTCAAAAAATAAAAAAGGTCTGGGAAGCATATTATAGTGATGCAGCCACATGAATGTTTATAGCGCTCAATTCACAATAGCTAACTATGGAATCAACCTAGGTATTGTTGGTTCCATATATGGTGCCTGTGTGTGTGTGTGTGTGTGTGTGTGTGTGTGTGTATAATGAAATATGACTCAGCCTTAAAAAAGAATGAAATTATGGCATTTGCAGGTAAATGGATAGAGCTGGAGAATATCATGCTACAGAAAATAAGCCAATTCCAAAAAAACAAAAGCCGAATGTTTTCTATGATGTGCAAATGCTAATTAAAATGGAGGGGGCGGGGTTAGGAAAGAACAGAGTTACTTTAGATTAGGTAGAGGGGAGGGGATATGGGGGTAGAAAGGATAGTAGAATGAATCAGACATTATTATTCCATGTACATATATAACTATGCGATCAGTGGAATTCTACATCATGTAAAATCAGAAGAATGAGAAATTATACTCCATTTTATATGCTGTATCAAAGTGCATTCTACTGTCATATATAACTAATTAAAACAAATTTAAAAAATTATATTTAAAAAAAAAGGGGTGGAGATGTGGCTCAGTGGTTAAATGCCCCTGGGTTCAGTCCCTAGTACAAAATAAAGAGAGCTGAGACCAAAAATTATCAGTGACATTAATTGATTAAGTCAGCAATTAAAAGAATGAAGTTTATAGATTGTGTCCCAATATGAAACCTAAGTCTATGCAGTATAGAAGATATACAAATAAAAGGAATTGATTCAACAGTAGTAAATATAAAGAGATGAGCAAAGGGGCAACTGAAATGCATATAAAAAGAAAGCTGTGGGAATTTCCATAACCCATAAAAGAAATAAGGTCTACAGATTCTTTCCCTGCTTCTTCTCAGTGTCCTGAGGAGGTAGCTGTACTCTGGAGTGAAAATGGCAGCAGTATACACCTAAGGATGTTGGATTCCCAAGCCCTGGTGCATAGAAACAGCTGAGTTGTGAGATTTCAAAAGGACTATAATCAGTGATAACGTATCTGAATATTTTGGTTCTATTACTGAAATTGCTTTAGTAGTGTCAACTGTGAAAAATGTTGACCTCATCTGGTCAAAAGGAGAAAGAAAAGCAAGTTGTAACTTGCACTGAGGAAATATTTAGAAAGGGCAAACATCTAGGGGGACTAAGGCAGAAGGATCTCAAGTTAAAGGCCAGCCTTTTTAGCAATAGCGAGGCCTTAAGAAACTTAGTAATATGGCTAAGGCATCTCTGTTGGTCCTGCCCAATGTACATCATTATCAGCCAAATGTCAGGATGATGCTCCACTTGATCTAAGCCCCAAATATGTGTCTTGCAAATACATAATTTCTTTTATGGGGAGATAGAAGTCTATTTAAAAAAATTTTTTTTCCTTGTACTGGGGCACTTTACCACTGAAATACATCTCCAGTCCCCCTTTCCTAAAAAAAAAAAAAAAAAAAAAAAAAAAAAAAAAAAAAAAAAAAAAAAAAAAAAAAAAAAAAAAAAAAAAAAAAAAATTCTGATAGGGACTCACTAAGTAGTTAATAGTTAAGGCTGGCTTAGAGCTTAAGATCCTCCTGACTCAGCCTCCTAAGTCACTGAGACCCCAAGTGTGCAACACTGTGCCCAGCTAAACATTTTATTTGAAATTTAACACAGGAAAGAAGCGGGAGGTAGAAGGAGGGAGAGATGTAGGCAAGTTCTGAGGGGAGGGTAAGGGTGGGTGTCTTGTCATGAACACTGAAAGTTCTGAGGTCCTGTCCTCTCTCTAGTTGATGGACAAGTGCAGGTGGGGAAAAGATGGAGATACAGAATGTGTGGAACCCTGAGCTTTCTTTGCATCTAAAGTGCTTAACACATCCCTACCAAATAGTAGATTGCACACAACTATGTCTTCAACAAATAAATCAATGAAGAGATCTTTAAGACATCAATGCTGTTTTCAAATGTCTAAAAGCACTATTAAGTGAAATGGGAGGACGTTCATTCTATATTGTTTCAAAAGGCATAGCTAGAATCAATAAATGGCAATAAAATAATGATAAAGATTGTGATAGGCTGGGCATGGTGGTACATGCCTGTAATCCCTATGGCTTGGGAGGCTGAAACAGGAGAATCACGAGTTTAAAGCCAGCCTCAGCAATGTTGAGGTGCTAAGCAACTCAGTGAGACCCTGTCTCTAAATAAAATACAAAATAGGGCTGGGGATGTGGCTCAGTGGTTGAGTGTCCTTGAGTTCAATCCCTGGTACACACACACACATACACAAAAAAGATTGTGATGATACCAAACAAAAATTAAGTAAAGATGCTACAGAACTAAAAAATATCATTTAGACTTAACAGACATATATAGAATATTCCATCTATCAATGACTGAATACACTTCTTCTTAGCAGCACATGGAACATTTTCTAAAACAGATCATATTTTAGGCCACAAACAAAATCTTAACAAATACAAAAAAAATAGAGAAAATACCCTGCATTCTATATCATAATAAAATTAGAAATTGAAGATAAAGAATAGAACCACTCTATGGGGCTGAGGTTGTAGCTCAGTGGTAGAGCACTTGCCTTGCATATGTGAGGCACTGGGTTCGATTCTCAGCACTGCATATAAATAAATGAATAAAATAAAGGTCTGTCAACAACTAAAAAAAAAWAAMMWWAAAAAAAAATAGAACCACTCTAACACCTACAGACTAAACAAAACACTTTTGAATGATGAATGGATAACAGAAGAAATCAGGAAAGAAATAGAAAAATACTTAGAGGTAGATGAGAATAGTACTACAACATATCAAGCTGGGATACTATGAAGGCAATTCTAAGAGGAAAGTTCATAGCTTTGAGCTCAAACAATTAAAGAACAGAAAGACACCAAACAAATAATCTAACATTACATCTTGAGGCCCTAGAAAAAGAACAAACCAACACCAAAATCAGTAGAAGACAGGAAATAATTAAAAATCAGAAATGAAATCAATGAAATTGAGATTAAAGAAACAATTCAAGGGTTGGAGTTATGGCTCAGTGGTA